TGATTCGACTGGTTAAGATTGAAGTGAATATTTTATAACATACCGGAAGGAGTGAAATTCCTCGATAGTTATTACAATCCGCCCTCGGACCCTTTTTGTGAATCGGAATAAGAATAGATTCTTTCCATTCTTCAGATAATTTCTCGTTCACCCAGATCTTTTCAACCAACTGATGTATTTTAGAAACTCCAGCTTCCCCGCATGCCTTAATTAGTTCAGTAGGAATATTATCGATTCCCGCTGCTTTATATGATTTTCATTTTCCGATAGCTAATTCAACTTCCTCTTTACTCGGTCCTTCTATCAACGGTTCAGCACTCTGGTACTCAGAAGGAGGACACAGATCATAATTTCCCGTATTTAAAATATTGTCAAAGTGGTCCTTAAACTTATTCAATATGTCAACCGGATCGGTCAGAATATTGTTATTATCATCCCTAATTCCAGACGTTACGGGCCCTACATATTTACGTGATCTGTTTATACCTTTGTACATGTCTCTTACGTTATTTTCGATTCTATTAGTTTCTATTTCAATTATTTTATTTTTAAGATACTCCCTTTTTTTGTTTTTGAGCAATTTTGTCGTTTCGTTCTTTGAGATTCGGAAGTATTCCAGATTGTCTTCGCTAGGATTATTTAGAGCTTTTAATTTAGCGGCTTTTCTTTTTTCGCACATGTTTAAGCAATCTTCATCAAACCACGGTTTGTTATTCTTATTTTCCTTTTTTCCTAGGCACGAGTTACCGACCGCTTTTATATTATCCCTGATCTCTACCCATAACTTGTCAATATCCTCATGGTCCTCGTCAGGAAGCTCTAAAGCTTCAAACCTATTCTTAACATCTAGCTCGAATTGGTTTCTAATTGATGGATTTTTTAATTTTTCCAAATTAAAATTCTCAAAATCGAAACGGTTTTCTTTTCTCTTTTTTATATTAAGTTTTTGTCGAAGTTTCGCGATTACTTATTCATGATCCGACCCACATTCTGCTCCGCGATAAGACCGTACATTGATTATACTGCTTTGCCAGCTGTGTTGTATCAAGACATGATCTATTGATTTCGTGTTTGCGAATCCGGTGATGTCCAAGTATATTTATGAATATCCTTATGTTTAAACGTCGTACTTTTAATTATCAGGTTTTTCGAGATGGCAAAGTTTATCAGACGGATCCCATTATCATTACTATATTCGTGCAAACTTTCTTTACCAATCGTCGGAATATAAACTTCTTCCCTTCCTACCTTTGCGTTCGCGTCACCTACAATTATTTTCATGTAGTTTCGCGGTAATTTATCATAAACCCATTCGAGTTTATCGTAAAATTCACTTTTGACTTCATCGTCACTGTCTTCGGTCGGACAATGTATGTTTATTAATGCGATTTTAAACCAACGTCCCTGAAATATAGCTACCGAAATTCTATCACTAAAGAATTGTACGTCCTTCAAAGCGGATAGTAATCTGCTCCTAATTAGAAACCCGGTACCCAAACAATGATTCCCGCTTCCTCCGTACCAAATAGATAGATAGATAGATAGAAAAAAAAACTTTATTCTGGGACTAAGTCCCTTCAGAATAACAATAATGTACAAAATAATAGAATATTACTGGCCTGAATGTTGAAACAATAAATAAAATTGATAAAATAAAATAAAAAGTAAAGAAAACCTTGGGTGCACAAGCTATATACAATACAGATAAAACTATGTACAGAGCATTTAAAATTATGAACAAAACAATTAAAACAATGAACGAATCACTTGAACTATGAACAAAATTATATTTAAGGGTTGAACAACATAAACATACACTTTGAGAAATGAAGAACGAAAAAGAGATACAATGAGTTCATTTCATAAAAAACAAAACAAAAAAAAAAACAAAAACTTTACTTGAATATATATATAAAAATAAACAGTTACTTATAATTGAATAAAAAAAATAAAAAAAATGTATGTATTGAAATTCCTACGTCGATAGTAGGAAATGCATGTACTATCTCTTACCAAGTGTTATGATTATATGATTGCTACACAATACATATATAATATTAATCGTTAGCTGGTATCAGACTGTTTTTGGAACAGGAATTGGAATAGGAGGTTTTTGAATGTATATAGGGAAGGGGCATGTTGAATATCCTTATATTCGTGTACTTTCCTTCCCTCATCGAGCCCTCCCCTGGCCAGCGAACCTCTTGCAGATCCACGACATCCAAATTGTACCCATTTACCTCATTCGCGACCGATTTTAGCCCCCCTGCTGTGTTTAAACTCCTTACGTTCCACGTACCAATATTTAAATTCCTATATTTCAACTTGCGCCATGAATCCCCTAAAGCAGTCCCCACCCGTAGACCCGAACGGGGGACTAGTTTACCTCCGGATAATGAGCGTTTCACCTTAGGGAGATCCATGACTTTTTGTGGTGTTTGGTGAACTAAAGATATGTGAGTAGGGCGTTCAATCCTACGTCACACCCTCCAGCAAGTCTGGTGGGCCCCTACCTCCAGCAAGTCTGGAGGTCCCCTCCCTCCAGCAAGTCTGGAGGTCCCCTCCCTCCAGCAAGTCTGGAGGTCCCCTCCCTCCAGCAAGTCTGGAGGGCCCCTCTCATTGTTGGTCAGCGAGTCCATTGGACTTAGCCGGGAGGAACTTCCAAGGAATTTCCACCGACCATCCCCACATCCGCCACCCGTGGGACGCTCCCCATACGCGGTAATGAGCCCGCGCGAGGTTTTAATTAATTAATTTTTAATTTAATTACATTGCTTAAAATTTATCTGATTAAAAATGACCATTGTAGTTATTTAAAAATTATATTATATTTAATAAGTTTTCTATATTGATACAATCAGTCACCAATTATACAATCTAAAAGCTCACATTTCTTTGATGTTATGCTGCATGTATTGCTCATTGAATATATTGTTTAATTTTGATATTTTGAATATTGCCAAGTGAGGTCAGACTGAAAATATTTTCATGCCACATTCTTATTTATAATTTTTTTGTTGCCTATTAATATAAATCACCCTGCTGAATTTTTTTTTAATTGTATCAAAACACCTTCACTATTTTGTGATTCAGTTCTGCAGTTAAGGAAGATATAAATGTGTAAAATTATTTAAAAGTTGTATGAATTAATTTAATTACTTGCAAGGGGAGATTACGGATGTGAGGTTAACGATTTCAATGAAACTTTTTTTGGTGATACTTGATCGAAAAATATTAGGGTGTTCTTGCCAATGCGCACTACAATCCGAGAAAAAGAATATTTTATAATATTTTATTATTTTTTTATGTTACTTTTTTCTGACTTTGCTCTGCATGGATTTATAAGTTATTATATATCAATCGATTTGTTCTTTTGTGTAAAATAAGAAAAACATTGCTAATTGTATTAAATGAATTATAAGATATAATAAATTATAAAAACGCTTCCTGTAAAGTAGGCCTAGTGTTGTAAAAACGCTCGGTGAAAAATCTATAAGGCTTGAGCCAAAAAGGCTCGAGCTTTCCCGACTCGGCCCAGTCTTGAGTCCTAAGAGCTCACTAGTAAACGGTTTGAGTTGTAGCATGAACCTTACTTGTTTTTTACCATATTTTTATTAAGGGACTTATAAAATTGTTTTACAATTTATACAAAAGGGTAATACCTACTTACCCAAATATATTGCCATTATATCATTTTTTTTTTTTTTTGAAAAATTTCTGGGAGAGATTTTCTTCCAAAAAAATTAATGTAAATAAAGTATCTCCCACGTACCCAAACATATTGCCATTATCTCATTTAAAAAAAAAATTTGCTGAGTGGAGATTCTCCCCATCCCTCCAAAAAACTTAAATGTAAAAAAAGTATTCCTCTCCTGCCCAAACATATTGCCAACATATCATTCTTTCAAAAATTGGGGAGGGATTGTGTGGGAAGAATGGGGTAATTTGTCCCTCCCTCGCCAAAAAGAAAAAAATTAAAGTAAAAAAAGTATTACCCATCTACTCAAACATGTTGGCTTTATATCTTTTGAAAAATTCGGAGGGAGGGGCATCTCTCCCCCCCCCCAAAAAAGTTAATGAATAAAAAGTATTACCCACCTACCCTAACATAGTACCTCTTCATATTTTAAGAAAATTTGGAGGGGGAAGGGTTAAACCCCTCTCTCTCTCTCTCTCTCAAAAAAAAAAAAAAAAAAAAAAAGTAAAACGCAATATCATCCACCTACTCATAACATATTGCCAAGAGGGGCACCGAAAATCGGGTATCGCCCAGAACTTCTCAGAATCTGTATATATGGTTTAATATTGCTCAATATAGGCCCTTACAATTATATTGACAGTGTTTCAATAATATTGAAGGAACTTAAACAAAAAAAAAAATTGACATCAACCAGTTTGATTTACGTCAATATAATTAATGCCAATATAACCCTTATACGGTCAATATATTGATGAAACTCGATATTGACTCAATAATATTGACTATGTAAGAGGGATGCTTAAGGCATGAATCGAAAATGCTCCAGGTTTCTCGACTCAGCCAAGGCTCGAGACTTAAGAGCTTGGTATTAAAAGACTTGTTTTAATACATAGACTTGTTTTGTTTTTACACAAAAAACAAAACAAATCGATTGATATATAATAACTTATACATCCATGCAGTGCAAAGTCAGTAAATAGTAACATAAAATAATAATAGAATTTTTTTAAATATTTTTTTTCAGCTCCTAGGTAGGCATGGGCAAGAACCCTTGGACATGGGTCTAATATTTTTCGACCTAGTATCACCAAAAAAAGTTTCATTGACCCTTCATTCGTAACTTCCTCTTGTTATTGAAATTTAAAGTTCCATCATTGCATCTAAAACTTTCTTAATTTAGTAACTACAACATTTACTCTTCTTTCTCCTTATATAACCTTTTATATATATATAATTACATGTTTAACATTAAACTTAATCATGTACTGTAGTTCTTTCAATGTAATATTATTATTTTCAGGGATTTTCCACTTCTGGACCAGTGCAGTATCCTATAAATCCTGCCTCTTCTAACACATCTTATGGTAGATACCCTGGTTACAATGTTCCAGCAAACAATTTATTTAACAGTGACCCTACTCAACCTCAGTCTTTCCAACCTCAAATGCCTCAAAATTTTCCACAAAATCAGTATCCCAATCCTCCTCAAAACTATAATTTATACAATCCTGTAATGCAAAGTAATCCTCCTAATCCAGTTTCATATCCAGCTACTTGGAACCAGTCCTCTACTGGATTCAATCAAAACTATTCAGTGCCTACATTATCCTCTACGGATGCAGTAATGTATCCTCACTTGAAAATTGGGCAGTCTCGGGTGGACCGTTTTAAAAATAGCCACCGAGAAACACTGAATAGTTCATCTCCACTCAGGCAGAGTAGAAGCTCCTTGGAAAAAAGGATGCATTCTACATCCCGATCACCTGAACCCAGAAAGCACAAAAGGAAGGCTTCCAAAAGATATAGTAGATCACCTTCTTTGGATCGTAAGTTTGATGATAACAATAAGAGATATGCAAGGCATAGCAAATCCCCAGTTAAGTCCTTCAGGTATGATTCAAAAAATCCTAAAGTAATCATTGACCCTAGTCGAATCCCTACTCCTCCTCCACCCCCAATTGTGGGAAGTTACAAGAATAATAACTCAATAAAGTCAATTGAGCTGAGGGCGAAAAATGTAGATCGGAGGTCTGATGTCAACCCTCTTTCAGATGTAAGTATTTTGAGCAACAGTTTATTTTTATTTTTTATTCATTTAAATTAAATACATAACTCGTATATTATAAAGTAGTTTATTTTATGTAATTTCAGCTAGCTCATCCAGTTGGCTAAAAGTTTCTCTGTAAATATTTTGACAGTTCTAAAGCTGAAAAGTGCAAGCTTCAAAATAAAGAAATTAATATTTAAAAAAAAAATCAATGTTAGAAATTTAAATATCAGTTTTATATTAAACTAGTATGAGATGAAATAACTATCATTCCCATTTCACTAAATATCATAATTTCTTTGTTTTTGCACCTAGCCCTTTCTGCTCTGACACCATTTATTTGTTTCTATGTGCATCAATGTTTTCATGACATGTTTTACAAAGATACTTTAACAATGGGGCAGATTTATAAGGTCTAAAGTGAACAGTTAAAAAGGGTCTGAAAATCAACCTTTATCAATAAGATCTCTTGATAACTGTTTATTTTTATTTCTCAAAGCTGCTGTTATCCAAGCACCAAAATTCATAAAAAGAGCTTAAGTTGATTATATTTTGAGACAAAAAATTATGTTGAGCAAATATTTATTCTGCTTTCATTAGTATACATGTTTAGGTATCTGATACATTTATATGTAAATTTAATCAAATTCACCCATTTTTATGGGTGGATTCTAATTTCTTCATTTGACAAGCAGGAGAGGAAGACCACCATAAGTTAATCTAATGAAGGTCTGATTAAAGACTGAAACCGGTTGTCCAAAAGGAAAAAGTAATAAATTATATAGGAAGACGTATCTTTTATTGAATTTAAATTTCAATCCTGTGACATCAAGCCTCAGTTCAAGAATCACCTATTTTTACCAAAATAAAATCTGGTGTGCGCAACACACAACTTTCACTTACCGCTCAACTTTGAATAGAAATTATTTTCTGGCCATGTTGGGCTGTTATAAAGTTTTTGAATTGCATTTTTAATCTAGTTAAAGCTAAAAGATTACAGCTAACAATTCATAAATACCATTAAAATAACAAAAGTTCTATTTATTGTATCACCGGTTTATTATGGATTGTACGATTTGTTGATTATGGATTGTACGACTATTGGTTATTAAACTGTTATTTTCCATTGCAAAGTTTACTAAAACGGAATTAAGATATTTACATTGTCTGTCATAGAGAGGTCAAAAGTTGTCACACTAATTATAAGTGGATACTGTTGGAATATCGCAAAGGGAAAATTCATCAAATTATTCACTAATTTAATTTTCTAAAACGTTACATGATGATTTTTAGGAATAAACGGATGATAGATACCTAATTATTTAAATATAATATCAGATCTAGATTTATTAAACTATAGTAAATATATTTAAGATTATAAACGTATCCATGAAATATTTTTATATTTCACTTCTTTTTTCACACAATGTACAATGAAATAGTATCTTGAACAATGTCATTGCCTTGAATCTGTGGGTTTTAAATACTTTTTCAAACTTAATCATTTTTTAAAAGTTTACATTTAGTAAGAAAATTTCATTTCATTTCCTTGAAAACACATGATTTCTGTTAAATAATGTTAGTTTTTAGAAATTATTATTTATATATTCTTCAATACTACCTTCTACAACTTTCTATATTATATGCTGTTTTTGTTTTTTTAATTCTCTGCTTTTCAACGATATTTTATACGTATACCTTCTGTCTAGTATTTCCGGAGATTCATTTTCGATCTGGATTAGCATTTTTTTGTAACTGTTAATGATGTGAGATAGTTAATTATTTAAAATAAACCATATTAAAGGTACTTTAGAGGAAGACTCATATGAACATTGGGTATTTAAGCCCTGTAAAGTGACATCAACAGGGATAAGACCTAAATGATATTAAAGACCTTTTAATTATACAATGATGCACCGAGTTTAATCAAAATCGTTTGAGCGATTTTTGAGAAAATTGTAAAAATGTGTTTCAGTGTTGATATAAAGTGGCACTTCTGGTTAACCAATTTTATAGAAAAAGTTGCTGTGACATCTCAGGCATATGCCTATCATAAATACGTAATATGAATTTCGTATGACTTTTTGTTTTTGAGCTAGAGTGCTCACTGACACACAGACCTTTTTTCAGGACTTCGTTATTTGGACTGTTCTTTCTTATTTATTTCTGTTGAAAACTCAAATTCGAAAATTTTCATGCAATACTTTTCCTTACCTTCCATTACATATATAGGTATGTGAAAGTAAAAATTGCTAGGAAAATTTAACTTTTAAACTTAAAATAAGAAATAATAACATATAAATAAAGACTTATTGGACCAAATACCACTTAATTTTTAGCTATTAATAAATATTAATTATAATTTAAGGCTCAAGATTATCTATTTGCATAAATTCAATATTTCCTCCTTCCTATTTGCATAAATTCAATATTTGGTTCATAATGTGTTGATGGAGGTGCTCATTGACGATATAAGTGCCTAATACTGGATAAAGTTGATTTATCGTATTTTATATTATTTATTATCTGAATTTGCCTCTACCCGATAGGGTAATTGGCAATTCTTTCTTCTCTCCAGTTTCCTATATTCTATTGTAGAATCCTGTTTTTTTTAAAAAGCTCATCAGAACTTCTACATCTTTCTCGGTATCTTGTAATATTTTCTGAAGAGTTCTGTGTAGGTTGAGATTTTTTCTTGTGCCTGCATAATGTTCACAATCCACGAGTATGTGGTTCACGGTTCTAAGGGAACCACATCTGGCGCAGGTAGGTGGCTCTTGACTGTGGAATAAGTAACCGTGTGAAAATTCGCAGTGTCCAATTCGGAGGCGGCACAGGATTATTTCCTCTTTTCTTGATTTCCTGTTACTAGTGCACCATTTAGCACTGTTTGCTTTTATATGGACAAGTTTGGAGGGATTTCTTCTCCAAGTTTCATTCCATTGAGCTATTATCTGGGATTTTGCTTGCCTCACCCAGTCCTCTCGAGGAACATAATTAATGGATTTTACATCATTATTGACATTACTTCGGTCTTTTCGTTGCCATGTATACCACAATAAGACGGAGCCCAAATAAAATCTGTTTTATTTCCTGCTCTTTTTACCGATCCAAATAAGTTCCAAAATTTTAATTATTGTCATGTTTTTCGATGTTTGGTTTCTAATTGCCAGAAGTGCACTCATTGAATCAGATATTGGGGTTGCTTGCTTGACTATGTTGAAGGGCTACCTTTATGGCAGTTGCCACTCCCGTAAGGATTGATCAGACTTCAGGCAATTTGTAAAGGAAAGTTGCGTTTTCTTTGACCACAGAGCATCCTACTACTGTATCCTCACCTTTTGACGCATCTGTATACATTATGTTGCATTCTTTGAATTCTTCTAAAAGCAACAAGAACATTTTTTGAATCTCTAAAGTACACACCAAGTCTTTGGAAGCCTTAGATAGTGATATATTTACATTAATATTACAATGACACCAAGAAGGTTTGATATTGTTTGGAATTTTTTGAATGCATTGTAAATTTATATTTTGGTCCAGGAATAGGATTGATTCAATTAATCTTCATTCTGTCATGTTTCTCTGGATTATGTATTCAGATGAGTCCCCTCCAGTCGGATTTAATAAATGTTTCGGAAGTGATGCCAATTTCGCAATGTACTTCGTGAGAAAATAGATCTTCTTATTTTTAGAGAAGGCTCTGCACTTTCAATATATATGCTCTCTACTGGTGATGATCTGTTCTCTCCAGTAAAAACATTTAAAAAACGATTCCGAAACAATACTACTTATACAGATAAGCAGGAAAGATTGTGAGTAACGCTGTTTGCGTACCGAACGCAGAACTCTTCATTGGCAGAAGGTTGCATTCAGTATTGGATCGTTTAAAACCATCCTTAAGAGATAAGATGGAAGAAAGCAGGCTAAAACAAAAAATGTACCACGATAGAAAGGGACAAGGACGCAGTTTCGAAGAAAGTGAGCAAGTTTAGGTAAAATGTAAGGACACAGAAGGATGGGTAAAAGGCATTGTGATTTTAAAAAAAGGGCCTCTTTCTTATGACATAGAAACGAGCGGAAAGCTAATGCGATGCCATGCTGATCATATAAGGAAGCGATTAGATCAAAGGGGAGAATAATGTAGTATGGATTATTATTATTGTTAGAGATTAATGTAAAAACACGTGATGTTGTACATTGTTGAAAAATATATAGATTGATTTATTTGGGAACTTACTCAACCTTTGTTTTTGTCTATACACAATCATTGCAGTAGCCCTAACCTTTTTGAGCAACTATCTCTTAGATATTTAATATGGTTAGTCCAAGTTAAGCGCTTGTCTAGAAACATACCTAAATATTTCAATAATAAAACAAATGTTACGTTATTTGATCTCAACCATAATTGGAGGTTATGCGTGCAATCTCTTAAGCGGCAAATATGCATTGTTTGTTTTCAATGACGAAATTATGAAACCACTACTTCTCGACCATTCCTCTGTTTCGTTTAGGGCTTCCTGAACCTTCCATTCAATGAAATTGATTGATTTGCTGTGTGTAAACAGCAGGATATCATCTGCAAACAAAACAACTTTCATCAGTTTCTCAATAATCGTGGCCATTTCATTGATGCTAATTAAAAACAATGTTATGTTAGACTAAGTGGAGAGCCTTGTGGGGTACTGTTTCTCAGCTTGTGGGTTGTAGAGTGTGAGCTTCCTATTCTAACACAGAATTTTCTCTCTTTCAAGAAATTTTGTATATATCGATACATATTTCCTGTTATTTTCCAGGACCTTAGTATTTCCAACACTCGTCCTCTCCACATTGTATCTTACGCCTTTTCAAGGTCCAGGAATATACTAATTAGATGTTCTTTTTGGGAGAAAGCTTCTTCTGATTCTTCCTTTAATATTAGTATTGGGTCGATACTAGAAAAGTGTTCTCTAAACCCAAACTGATGGATGGAGAACAGTCCTTTCCTTTCTATAACACTTGCTAATCTAGTATTTACATTTACCTTCTTCTCCTGGATTTTTGACAAACTCAAACACAAGGAAATAGGACGGTAGTCTTTCAGTTGATTGCTATTAACTATTTTGGGGATCGGCACTATTATAGATGTTCTCCAAACCTGAGGAAAACTACTACTTTCCCACACTTGGTTATAGAGCTTTAATATGTGTGCTTTGCCTTCATATGGAAGATTCCGAATCTTTCATAAGAAATGCCGTCGATACCATGCGGGTTGTTCTCTTCCCAGCATAGATGATGTGTAGAGAAATCTCCCTAATGACCAATGGTCATGAAATAAAATTAGGACTATCGAAGTTATAGTAAATGTTATCCTCTATATGTTTAATTCGAGAAGTTTTTCTCAAAACAGGTTTTACTATGAAGATATTAGCAAAATATTGAAATACAAATTTTGTTGAAATTTTTTGCACATCATGACAAGTGACGTTTGTACAGGAAGTGGGAGGTTGAAAACTTCAGTATTTTGCTTTTGATTTTTAAAAAATCATAAATTTACAAACTTTTCTGTTCCTATTGGACTGTGAGTGAAGCACAAGTTCATTTTACTATTAAAGTTTAAATTGCAATGTTTTTTTTTTTTTTTTATTATATTTTTAACCCTCTGAATCTGTAATCATTTGTAATATCTTCATCACTGGGATGGGTTTAACAATGGACCCTATGTTCAGTGATGAAATATTGATATGATATTGCAGAGATGGCAAATTAATGTGGAAACTATAAAAAATTAAGCTAAAATATTGTTGAATATGTATAGTCTTTAAAATAAGTAAAATTCAAGAGGAAATGAAGGGCATCTTAAGTAGCTTCATTACAGCGTGTTATTATGATATCTGCAGCTAATTGTGTTACAATGATATAATTATGATTTAGTTTTAAACTTTAATGAATTAATTACTAATGTATTAATTTGGGCATATCTGATCCATTGAATTAAATTTCAACCATCCATTGATAATCAATTATTTATTGTCACCTATATTTTTAAATTGAATATGCAAACTAAATATAGTAGTAAAATTTGTTTCAATATTCTATGTATTTTTAATTTTAATTAAATATTTGTTATATTTCAGGATAACTTTATATTAATTTATTACCATGGATAATTATTATAAGTAAATTTGAAAAATTCATTTTTAATGGAAAAATAGGTCCATGTGATATGATAATAATCCATAAAATATTATTAGGTATACAAGTCTACACTCCAGACATTATTTAAAGGCAACCAAACTCCTAAACGGTGGATAAAGAAACTGCGATATGACCCAGCTCGAGAAGAAATGAGTAATTTCTCTGTCGGATTTGGGAACCACAAAAGCACCCAAACATTGCTCTGATTGAAGTCCAAGATAAGACTCTTGACGCCATCTTCAAGAAGAGGAATCCTGGAGTGTCCATAATTTAACACAAACTAATGGTTCACTAGATTCGTCTGAGATGTAACTCAATCAGCCTCCTGGAAATGATCATCAGACATAACCTTAAAAGAATATTATTACTTATATTTGTTTATTTTTATGTAAAAAAGTTATATTTTGTATTTTTTGTTCAAATATTCATAAAAATTGTAATTATATTAATGAATTACTTCACAGTGTCTATTTCAAATACTCCACTCCTTCCATAAAAATTCCCTCTCAGTCCTTCTAACACTATGAGACAGTAGATCTCAGGTTTGTACCTGTTGGTGCCCTTAGATCCCTGAAGCTAGAAAATAAATTAATTCTGATTTTATTACCATCTTTCTCATACTACTGTCATAACATAGTATCAATGTGTTCTGTTTTCATTTAAAGTTTTTTAGTTAAGTTAAAGTTTTTATTTAGAGTTTATTTTGTACATACTTTAGCTAATTTCTCTCCTAAGAGACTGAAGTTATATTTTATAATGTGAATATCATTCTTTATGTAACCATATTTATATACTCTTTATTGATATACATTGTAACATATTTTGATAGGACCTGTATAGGATTGTAATTATTAACTGATTTCATGTTTTTGTTCTCTTATAATTTTCATATTTTTAACTTTATGAACATTCATGTTTATATACATAAAATATTTAAAAATTCAATTTAATTTCATATATTAAAATAAGTCTTATTAATTTTAGTTGTAATTTAAAAAATTGTATCAACGATATTATCGTATAACTAACTATAAAAAAGTATAATATATTAGAACAGACGGAGCGGGAGCTGTTTTTTCCATGAGAGATAGAATTGTAGATAACTTTTGGTAAGGTGTATAGGAGGATGTGTGTGGTGCCCTCTAGGCTTTGTTGTTATGAATCATGTCATTCATTTTTGCAAGTCATTGTTTGTTCTGCTAATGATTAGTGATTTTTATAGCACAATCTGTTAGTTGCCCAGTGGAACAATGTATTTCTTTTAGAACCTATTCATTATTTTTTATTGTAATAATTCTTTTTGAGAACAATTGATGTTTATAATATTTTTAATGTAAGTAGTTATGGTTTGTCATTAAATAAAAATAATAGGAGTTTGGACTAAGAGATTTCAGGGCCTAATTAAGACAATTGTTTCTAGTGTTGCCTCTCATTAACCTGTGAACAGGTCTGAGGGCTAGTTATTAGTTTAAATAGTGGCCTGGTCTCTAGGGCAGGCACTCTTTGAATCATAGCACAAAGACTTCCGGAATCTCTGTCCAACAGTTTGATATCAGATTCGTTGTGTCATTCTTTTACTTTATCTGCTCACCCTCCTTCTCTACTTCCTTTCTCCCTTCGTACGTTTAACTTGATGGTCCCGTATTATGTACTTAACTCTTTACATATTTGTGCTCCTTAAATTGGTGGTCCCTTGTTGCGTACTTACCTCTTTACATATTTGTCTTCTGTCGGGATGAGTGTAAAGTAACCTATCCTTGCAAGGTCTGTGGATGGTCTCCTCAGCTTGCTGAGCCCTGGATGATATAGTTCTGCTTCCCTTATCATTCTTGGTGATCTTTTCCTATACCCTTACCTAGTCTTCTATTCTCTTCCACCCTATCTCCTTTCTCCTTTCGTACGTTTAACTTGGTTGTCCCTTGTTGCGTACTTACCCCTTTACATGTTTGTCCTTGGTCGGGACAAGTGTAAAGTTACCTATCCTTGCAAGGTCTGTGGATTGCCTCCTCAGCTTGCTGAGCCCTGGATGTTATAGGGGTGGTCCCCCTATCATTCTTGGCGGTCGTACCTTACCTCCTTTGTCTGGTTCATCCTATCTAAATCCTTCTCATTCTTTAAATAAGTGTGAACAGATATGGTAAGAGAAATAATTTAGAGGCAGACAGAGACAATATAGTCAGTAGGAGACCGAGTGAGTGATTAGATATTATTGAGAAAGTAGAAAGACATCCAGTAAGAAAAATATATGACTTGGAAATATTACAACATATGTTATAATAAAGGACATATTACTTTTTTATTTATTAATCTGGTTGTAAACTCCACAATTTTTTGTGTCCTTGCGAGATTTCACTCTACAAAAAATTTAGAACCTCTGCTCTAAACACTGCAATGCAATCCATGAACTCTGCCCATCATGATATGTAATCTTAGCCAATGACAAGCTATCTAATATATATTCACTGTCACACAGAATGCAATGTCTCTCTGCATATAAAGAAATCACAGATCGTGTTACGTGAGGAATCTTTGTCACTTGGCTGTAAGAGTGGTTTGGGAGGAGAGTCTGGTGAGCTTTGGTTGTAGGCCACTAGAGTTCACTTGAAGTATCAGTCACTGCTAAACATTAACCTTAATATGTAGGTGATAACTTGGATACCTGGAATGCCAGTGATATCTGGTTCTTGGTTTTTGAAAATGATACAGTTCATGTTCTTTATGAATTTAATATTTCAATGGATCAGAATAACCCCCCCAAAAAAAGATATTAAAAAGTAATTTTCTTTAATAAATGAATATTTTTTATTTACCAATCAGTCAATTGGTTATTGTTGGCCTTCAAATTTGGGTCTTTTTTAAATACCTATAAAATTCTTTATTTTATTATTTTCAGTTTCTGAATAAGGAAAACGTTAGCCTTAGCTGTTTACTTGAAGCAGTAATGGAAACATCGGGTAAGAATTATTATCATCCTTCAGTAATGGTATACTTTATTGTATTAGTTATTTCATTTTGATTTTTTTACTGATATTTTAGTTAATCTATTATTTTTAAGTTTTAATTGATCAGTTCTTTTTATTTTTCAAATATTTATAAAACGATTTAAATAGGTTTTTTTGTACTGAATGTACACTTTTTGTTTTTTTGACAGAGTGAAATAAAGTAATTGATTTAATAACAATAAATTAAATTGAAAGTCAGTTTACTTTTAAAATTATGCTGATTTGAGGTTTTTCTGAGTTTATTTCAAGGTTATCAGAAATGAAAAAATAAATAAATAAATAAAAAAATTCAGTACATTTGTTATTCTATTGATACACAGGTCAAGGAAAAAGTCAACTGAGTGATCCGAAAGTGAAGAAGGAAATTATTTCAAACTGTGAATCTAAAATTCAGCGTTTGTATAAAAGGAGGATGACAGGCCTGGGTGCTTTTATTCCTGATCCAATCAAGTCTTCTCGTGTGATTACTGATGTTTCACCTTTGGTTATAGTTTATTCACCTTTTACTTATAATTGTGAAGAAGATAATAATGAATGGCATTGTCCTGATATAATTGTGCCTGAAATGAAAATGAAGAAAAATGTGAAAGTTCCTGTTAATGATTTTGTTACTTCTCAGACCGAATTTGAAGCAGTAGACAGGTCTTTGAAGACCAATATTGAAAATCCTACAGTCATACCGACATTATCAAATAACCAGTCATTGCTTGAATCAAACTGGAATGCTAAAAAACCTGAAAATGTATCTCAACATATTTTCCCGAATGCTTTTGGCGATAACCAACAGAACATGTTTCCTTCTCATCAAGGTCCACAAACTTGGAGCAATCCAGTTCAATCTCAGAACCCGTATACAGGTCAATCACCTATGCCTGGTTCTACTAATGAATATTCTACTTTAGGACCAACTCCTTATATACCACCTTCATATTCCTTTCCGCATCGCCCCCCAGGCCCTCAATTCATGCCTCAGCATGGCTATCCACCTCAGCCAGAAATGTTAAATTATCCTACCAGGATGGACTATCCACCTATGCATCACTTTCCAAATCAAAATTTAAATCATCCAGGGATGTTTAGTGCTCCGCAACCTGATTCAAACAGGAACAATTATCAGTACAAAGCTGATGAAACTCATAAATTGAGGAAAAGTAAAAATATGGTTAACGATAATCTTATATTATTATCACGTAATCCTAAGGCCCATTCTGATGCTGCTCAGAAAGACAAAAAAGAAAGAAATCAGAATAATGTCTCGAAAGATATATTTAGAGATGACAAAGACAAAATGTCAACTGATGACTCAAAAGATAAACTCTTGAAGAAAGTAAGGAGATCAAGGAAATCTTCAGAACATGATCATGGTTTTAATGATCTGCAGAGAACTAAGGAATCTAAAGATAAATTTTATAATAAACTAAATTATGCTGAAATGCTTGACGATACTCAGTTAGATTCAGTACATGATTACCAACTTACAAACTTGAGAGAAAGAATTGAAACTTGTTTGGCTGAAGGAAAATCATCACCTGGGCATTCTCGACATAGAAGTAGTGATAGGAGAGAGGGAGATAGAGAAAAGGATAGGCATAAGGATAAAGATAGAGGTCGAGATAAAATCAGAGTTAGTGATCGGTCCAGAAAGGATTCAATGGAAGGTGAACGAAAATGGCATGGAAGAAGTCCCCTTAGAGATGAGAGGAAGAAATGTAGGTCTGTAGAAGGTCATTCTAATCATGAACATAGGAAGAGTAGGGAGCCTTCTGACAAAAAAGATCATTGCAAGGTATCTGGGAGAGATGATGTTATTGAAATATTATCAGATGAAGATCATTACAAACAAAAGCTGTTGGGGAGTTGTGCAACGGAAGGATCGATGGATCCAGATGATCATTTAAAACAGTCTGAAAAAACTTTGCAATCTCAAATTTTTGATTCATTAGGTCCTGAAATCAGAAAAATTCAAGAAAAATCAGATCTTTATAAATCAATTATTGATACTCTTGATAAAGGAGATAAAGCATATAAACGATTATATTCATTTAGAAATCATGCTTTAATGAAATCTGATAAAGATAATAGAATGAAAATGGTAATTCCACGAGATAATTTAAAGGAAGTTGTCTTACTTATACACAAGAGCTTTCATCATGTTCAAGGAGAAGAGTTGTCGAGGCTTTTAAAGAATATATCCTACCCTTATATGCTATATATTCCGAAGTGTGTAAGCAAAGTTATGAGTGAATGTCCTATGTGTATAGAAGAAAAGAAGAAAAATGATGAAGCATTAATTGATCCAAAATCTGACAGAATAGAAAGAAAGTCAGATAAAAAGAATAATAGATCATTGAAAGACAGAGACAGAGATAGAGATAGGAAAAACTCTACCGACAGATATAAAAGAGCTTCAAAAGATAAGAGTTCCTCTTCATCATCCAAAGGGAGACGAGATTATCTTAGAAGTGGAAGGGAAAAAGATAAAAAAGACTCCAATGCAAGTGATGGGAGACCTTCAGGCTATGAGAAGGCTACTAAGATCAAGAAACCTAGTGCACCATCATGTGCAATGTCCAATAAAGTATCTCCAGATTATCAATGTCACAAAGAGAAATCTGATCTTCAAATTGATGTCAAATCCACAGAACCGCTTGGTGGATTAAATGATAAAGCCTTGGAGTTTAAGCATATTTCTGATGGTGTTAATGATGTCTCTGAGGAAAAATCGAGCATTCCTGAGGTATTTAACCAACAATTACTATCAGGTTTGGATAAAAAAAATAATGAAAAGATATCAGCCGACAGTAAAAATGATGCAGAGGACAAAGACCGTGACCCTGAAATAGAATCCTCTGATCTTGTTACAAAAACTGAAATAAAATCTTCAGATATAGTTTCAAAACCTGAAACAGAATCTTCTATCACTGTTACAAAACCCGAATTAGAATCTACTGATCCATTTACAAAACCCGATACAGAATCTTCTGATGCAGTTACAAAATCTGGAATGGAATCCTTTAATACACTTGAAAAAACAGAGTTGGAATCCTCTGATGCAATTACAATATCTGAAGAAACCTTGAATACACCTACATTATCTGATATGGAAATCTCGAATACAGTTACTAAGACTGAAATGAAATCCTCTGATCAAATTTCCATCCCTCAAAATCACAAAGAATTGGTCAATTCTATTTCCGAAGCATCTTATTCTCTGAAAGAGGATTCAATAGATACAAATCTAAAGCCAAGTGTGAGCTCTTCTAATACAGATTTTGATGAAATGAGTAAACAAAGTGTAATCAAACACAAACTAAACTCACAAATTAAACTTGGTGAAGAATCAAAAGAAAATAATTTTAAGGAAGAGAAAGTCTCACTTGATCAAAAAGTTAATGATATTGATAGTAAAGCTACTCCTAAGTTAGATTTCAAAGGAAGAGTGAGGCAGGTTCAAATGTTGAGCGATGAATGCAAAAATGTAATAAAGGCGCTCGAGTCAAAAGATGACACCATAGCTGATCCTTCATACATAATTAAAGGTGGTATGCTTTGTAAGAAAGACACTACTGGAAATACTATAGAAATAAAAATAGTGGTACCGAGTGACGAGGTAGAAAAAGTTGTTAGCATCGTTCACACAATGTCAGCTGTTCATACTCCTCCTATAAAAGTGGTGGCATTCTTTTCAAAACATTTTACCATGGTTGAAAATTTGGACTTGAAAGTTAATGAAATTGTTGCTAACTGTTCATATTGTAAATTAAAATCTAGTTGAAAATTATGATAAATAATATTGTAAATTTTTATTAATTTTATCTATATGTGGTTATTATAGAAGGCATGAATATTTGTATAAAGTTTCAGTTATGAATTAAAGTTATTTATGTAAAATTTATGTCATGAGCTACATATTTTTTACCATTTTATGTTGATCTCTTTACTATTTAAGATAATTTTGATGATATACCTGTATTAAAAATACAGAAAAAAATTATTTGTTTAATAACATTAAGAGGTATGATTCTGGGTTCATTTTCATACCTAGCATCTGTATTTTCATGAAATACGTATTTGTTTTATGGACTTTTAATAAATTCTTTTATACTTAATAATGTTAAATTTCCTTTCCATGTATCCTACCACTATTGGTTCATAAATTGATAAGAAGCATAAGTTAATTTGATTTTATTTTTTTTTTACTAAATTAAAATCAAGAAATTTTATTTGGAATATTTTAACATTTGGTGTGACCTGTTACAAAAAATGTTTTAATAAGTTATATAGTTATATAAGTAATACAATTCTCTTCTTTTATTTCTCATACGTTGACCATTGCTTTCAAATTATTTTAAGAAACAGAAGATGCTAAATAATTATTTAATTTTGCTAGTTGTTTATTAAGGTTTCACAACTCTTTCTATAATATCTAGAAAATCGGTTATCCTATACAGCACCAACATATTATAGCTATAATGGTGAGGTGTGTTGGTTTATCTAGTTTTGACAATTTTTTATGAAATATAGTTAGATGAAGGATTTTATAAGATATCTTTTATTTATTCAACCTCTCAAAAACTTATTTTAAAGCTGCTATACATAGCAAAGTCTGTAAATCATTATGAAACTTCTGGACTTAGCTCAGTGTTCTGTTGATCAGTTGACATGATAACACTTGAAAAAGTCATATTTTAAAAGAAATGCTTTATAAATAGTTCAGCTATTTAAAATGGTGGAGATGATTGTCTGGATGGTTTATTTGTTATTGTTATGTGGTTTTGTGGGATCAGTGTCAATGAACTCACCTCGGTAACAAAAGAAAAGACATGGTTATAATGGACAAAGAATTGGACTGCCACAAGAGATACTAAGTTATGGGTTGTGGAGCCGTTCATTCAACAAGGGATTAAAGTTGTCCTATTGTTTTGAATGGATGAAGTAGTGCTTACCCGACT